CATTATCTTTTGCAATGGCTCTTACCCTAAAAGTCATATTTCTAGAAATTCTTACATTTTATTTCCTACTGAATTTCTCCCTAATGTTCATGACCTTCATAGTAGGGTTTTCTCTGACAGTTTTTTCCATCCTTTCACTCAACCATTTTGAAGTCATTAACTTTACATTGAAATCTCTACTACAGTTGTGATCATCAATCACTTTTCTTAGTTGTCATGCCTTCACATCACACCTATAGGAGCAATACGCATACCATTTGCAATTCCCTTTTCCATCCAAACACTTTACAAAAACACTCTTCTTGTCATTCTTAATAAATTTTAAATTTTTCCCATTACTGAGTGCATAAGTCCTTATCGCGTCTGTGAATTCCTTTTTCTCAGCTAAATAGGTTCCTACTTCCCATTTATAATCCCCCAAACTTTTCGGCATACTAAAATTGGGAAACCTTATCTTAATGGAATCATCCTCCTCCTTACTATCTGGTTTACTATTCAACTCCTCTGACAGCCACTCAATGTCAAACAAGCCATAGACATCATCAATGGAATCATTATCAGTTGTCCGTGAACACTCACCTACTAGAGTGGAAGGTTCTTGTCTGACATTTCCTTTAGAAGTCTCAATGTCACACTGAATGCTGACATCAATTAGACTTTCTTCACTGAGATACTCACATTGAACATCCTCATCAAGATCCTCATGTACTTCTTCATCATCATGTACATCTTCATCCTCAGACTCATGTACATCCTCATCCTCACTCTTGTCTACATCATCATCCTCTCCTAAATCCTCTAGCTCAAAATCATGTACCTCATGTACTTTAACCTTCTCTACATCATACACCTCAGCATCCTCTACATGATGGACCTCTACATGATGGACCTCATCCTCTTCTACATCATGGGCATCACCCTCACCATCCACAATTTTTGTTCCAACTTCAGTGTGACCATGACCTTCACCCTTACCATATCCCATTTATGTTCCAACTTTAGTATGGCCCTCACACTCATCCTCCACCATTTCTGTTCGAACTTGAGTATGGACCTTATTATCACCCTGACCCTCCACCATTTCTCTTTGAACTTCACCATCACCAACAACCTCTCCCTCCTCCACTTATGTTACAACATGATCTTCATCATGAACTTCATCATTTAACCTTGCAATGTTCAACATATGCATGACACCCATATCATTAGTTAATAATTCTAACCTATCTGGATCCACAAACTGGCCTCCTAAACTGTACCAAAGTTCTTTCACGTGTATATGACCTAAGCCTTTCACTGAAGCTACTATGCCAAATAGTTCCATAGGTTTGGATCACAAGACTATTTTACTCTCTCCATCAAATTTGAACTTCCCATTATCATCACTAACAAAATGTCCAGCATGGTGGACCACAACTTTAATACGTTCATCATCCATATCAAGAAGTTGCTTTTAATACCTATACATTATGGGGGGGATGATTATTATTACACTCCTACCACTCAAATAGGGGAACACTCACTCACTAACCAAACACTCACATAGACACAAATAGGGGACAGGGGAACAAAGTAACATCCCTACTAAGGAAACACTCACAGACAGGGGACCACTACTTGTAAACAATTCAAAAATGATAAATTGGGACCACAATGTCTACACTGTACACAACTAAACATGGATAATGGGGACCACAAAGCATTATAAATAGTCACAAAACAAAAAAAAAAACAATTCAGATTATCCATCCCTAAAACAAAGACGCACATGTTCGTAAAACCAAAAACCCATCAACCATTTATACGTTCAAATAGAAAACCAAACATGAAACGAAACTAACCTTAACTCGCGTCAACTTTCGGTTCAGCTCGTCCACCTACACCTGATTCTCTTCGTCTTCTATAATATTGTAGTTCCTCTTCTCAAATTGAGCAAATGAAATCCCTAATTCCAATATGAAATCCCTAATTCGCACACTAAGAAAATGAAGTCCCTAATTCGAATAAAGTAAACAATAGGCATTGGACCATGTCAAACAATGTTTATTTAAATAAAAAAATCCACATAATCAAATAATACACATCAACATATTATCTATGCAACACGTCAGCTCAAGTTAACGCCGTCTCAAATTTACAAATATTATGACCCAATTCAGACAATTGCAAATATGAGGACCTCACTGAGATTCCCATACAAATATGAGGACCATCCGATTATTTAAACATAAATTTTTAAATAAAATAAAATATTTTAAATTTATTGTTTATATTTTATTGAATTTTTATTTTTGTTTTGATCAACATTTACAAGTTTTGTATAATGATAACATTATAAAACTTCAAAAAACTCATAATTATATTTTTGTATATTAATTTTATAATATCAATATAATTTTTATCAATATTTTTTATATAATTCTATTGAAATAGTTAACTTGTTTATGATGTACATGTGTATTCACGTAAATATCTTGATTAACGTACACCCTTGAATAAAAATTAAAATTCTACTGATTAAATATTTTAATTTATTTAAATTTGGATATAAATTAATTTTATTCCTAAATATTGAGTATATAATTAACTTCTTTTTGTGTGGATTTTATTTAATTTGACATAACCTCTAATTGTACAATATTAAATTTATATTATTTAACGACCATATCAATCATTCTATCTTCTTTTTATCTTATTTTATGAAATATATTTGATCTAAAAGTAATATTTTAATTATATAAAAGTATATTTTATTTAGTAATCTATTGATTAATTATATTTGTTAATAACTTTCGACATGATCTGGACCGACGTTTATGTCATAGAAAAAATTAATATTGATGGTTATAATTAGATATTTTCAGACCTTTTTAACGTCTGATATGGAGGGTTCAATGTCTAAAGAAAGATTTGACGTCTGATCCTAGGGGAACCGGTTTTTATAATGACGTTTTATTTATAAAAATATCACCAGTCATTTTTTAAGTTAAATTTTTGATAGTCCGGACGTTATATGGGTGATGTTAAAGACCATTTCTACACTAAGATATCACTTTTATATTCTAAACTGTTTAACTCTTAATAAATTATTTAAATAATTTTTTTTTACGATAACATTGTCTTCCTAATTTCCAGATAAAGTATATTCATAATCTTAGTTAACATATTTTGTTTCTTTATCTAGAAGGATTGACTGTTATGTATAAAGGGATCAAAATGTAATTTGTCTGTAATTAACACTATTATTTCTTGGTTCCTAGATAATTGAAGTTAAATTTTGGTCCATTTTTTTTATTTTATGTTTTTTTGTTTCTTTCAAAAAATGATTGTAAGAAAATGTTAAAGAAGAGAATAAAATGTTTGAAATATTATTTTAATATAAAGTAAAATAAAAATACTTTTTAAAATTCTGGAGTATACGTTGTACTCTAGATATCAACATCAAATTGTGTGTTTCAAAAATTTTCAAAAGTTGAAGTTAGATAAGTCTTTAAGATTGAAATAAGGGTGTTGCTCCCTCCACCACCACCACTTCTCCCTCCATCTCCCCAATCTTCTGCAAAAAAAATTATTTACTTTAAACTTAAACACTAATACACTATGTTTCTACTCATTTTTACTTTTCACTCAGCCCCACCTCCCAACTCTCCTCCTCTCTTTTTTCAAATTCTCACCCCCAAACTCTACCACATCCTATTGTTTTAATTACAAAAATATTAATATAATAAAATTATAGATTTCATATAATTAAACTAATAAATAATTTTTTATATAATTATAAAATTGTTAAAGAATACAAAAACCATATATAAAAAATATATATTATACAAAAACATTAAAACAAAAAACTAATTATATATAACTGCAAAATAAAAAAAATATAAATATAAACTAATAACAATAAAGATCTTCAAAAATACATTATTAAAATACATCAAAAATATATTAAAAAAAATACATCAAAACATAAATTACATTATTAACATATCTCCAAAATTAATATAAAAAAATAAACTAATAAAAATAAACTGGAAAATAAACATGTAACTTTAAACGGATGTGAGCATCCGTCAACGGATGTCAACATCCGTTTAAGGCAAAATGGATATCGACATGCGTTTTCCCTTAAACGGATGTTGACATCCGGTGAGGGATGCTCATATCCGTTTAAAGATTGTATGATTATTTTTTTAGGGTTTATTACACACCTTCACGACGAATCCTTCAAGCACCACCACCACACACCGATCTTGGCACGGCTGATCAATTGCTTCCACTATCACTTGTAATCTCTCACTGAGCACACCAGCTAATGAAAGTCCTATCACAATTAAAGAATGAGAAGAAGAAGTGGAACGTGAAAAAGAGGAAGAAGAGCACAATGAAACAATGAGGAGACGAATGATAAAGAGGAAGAAGAGTTGTCGTTGCATACATATAGAGGATTGGAGTGGGTAGAGGTTAAAAAATATTAATCCTAAAATTTTACTAAAAGTAAAATAAGAATCAAAAAAATAAAGAGAGGAGTAAAACAGGAATGAGATGGTGGAGGAAGCATGGGGTGATGGTAGAGGGAGCAACACCCCTGAAATAATCCAATTAGGATTGCTTCCTTTTGTACCTCCATACATATCTTCTTGCATCTTCATAAATCTTTACATAATCTCAGAATCTGAAATAAAAGTTTTGCATTTTAAAATTTATAATTCAGAATATATTTTTTTATTAATTTATAATCTAAAATATAATTTTTTATTTCTACAAAACATAATCAAGAAATAAAAAATTTGTGGTGGTGGAAGTAAAAAGTATGGAAACGTAGTAGGTAATGGCCCCAATAAGTCCACATTACTTTACCAGTACTAATGGGCCGAAATTCCAACTTTACTGGGCTCACTTACATGACCCAAACTAAATTTTCTTAGGGAATCAATAATCAGCAAGGTATGATGACATGGCATAACGTGATTGGGTTTTTTGACGTGGACTACGCAAAGTCAAATTTCTTCATTTATATAAAGCGAAACAGTGGAAGAAGAAACCAGTTGGTGACCATAGTTCTATATCTCCGGCGGGCGAATTCTTCTCTCAAATCTGCAGTACCCTCTAATATCACTCACCAGAAATTCATATAAAGGTTCATTTATTCCCCTGTATTATAATTTCCGGTAATAGATCTGAATTTTTTTCCTATAAATCTTAGGGTTTTGAAATTGAATTTTTGTATCATCCATCTGTTCTGCTTCGATGATTTCTTTTGTGTGTCGTTGAAATTATATAAATGTGAATGTAGTATATATTTTCACGTTTTGAATTGTTTCTTATGTTAAATTGCGTTGATTTAGTTCTTGTAATCGTATCGTGAATGATTCCGTTTGCTGTTGTTGTAATCATTGTTAACTGTGATGTTGTAGATCCAATTTTGTTTTGCCTTTTATCGTAACAGAGTGCTACATTGATTTTTAGGTTCTAGGTTTTAGGTTCTATTATTGTATAACAGAGGGGTACGTCGATCAGGGAAATTCGATCGTTTTTGTTTTTGGGATCTGGGTAGGTTTGTGATCTAGAGAAGATTAGAGTTTGCAGATCTGGAATTTTAATGTTTGTTAGTACTGTTGAGTGATGTTATTTTGGTGGTGTTATTCAATCAGAATTACTGTTTCATCTTAATATTCTATGTTGACCTTTGATGCAAATTTTTACTATGTGAATTACTTTGGTGAAACTTAGATGAATGAATTGGAAGGAGAGATGGTTGTTAAACTTAGACGTATACATGTCAAATCTTGAATTTGAATAAGATATACGTTGCTTTTTCATTCATTTGAGATTTGTGACTACTTGATATTTGGTTTACTTATATCTAACTAATTCGAGTTTGTATTTGTTCTGGAGGGGCGGCTGAGTTAGCTGTGAGAAGATTTAGTTGTAGTAGTTGATTTTTTAGGTTTTATATTTTGTTTTTAATTCAAGATTCCTAATGTATGTATGGAACTTTTGTCTCAGAAAATGGCTTTAGGTGGAACAGCTCCCCCAAGAGGAAGTGCAGCTGCTACTGCAAACATGAGGAGGAGGAGAACAGCCGGTGGTGGGGCCTCTGGAGGAGCAGCTGGAACTATGCTCCAATTTTACACTGATGATGCCCCTGGACTCAAGATCTCCCCAAATGTGGTTCTTGTAATGAGCATTGGCTTTATAGCATTTGTTGCTATCCTTCATGTGATGGGAAAGCTGTACTTTGTGCGTAGGGAGGCTTAGAAGAGAAAAGATTTAGGTCGATTTTTGGATATTTAATACACAGTCTCTCTTATGAAACAGTCTCAGAACTTTTCCTTGCTTTTGTATTTTGGTACATTCCTTCGTTATTTTTAAAGGTAAAAACAGTTTAAATACTTTGGTAGTGAGAAGAAATTTTCTGTTGCATTTCGTTAGTTTCCCTTAGTCGCTTAACTGAGATGAAAACTGAATTATTAAAAAGTATGCTGTGATTGATTTCTAACCATTCTCCCTTAGTAAGGAATCCAAGCAATTGCAGAATTTCTAGATTTTACAGACCTCATTCAAATTTATGAGGCTGATGGTGTTACTCGTGTACTTGCCTTGCTATGTCTTATTAGAGCTTGTCAGGGATAACTTGAATTTTGGACATTAACTGTGTTTTTGTTGAAACAATCTGTTTGAGAATTAACAAATGTGTCTTGGAATATTTGTTTAAATTTACAAAAAAAGGGAAAAAAAAAACTGTTTTCGTATAGAAAAGTGGTTTTTATATATCTAGATGTATACATATATATATATATATATATATATATATATATATATATATATATATGTAAACAATTATTAAAACGTTTAATTTTTAGAATTATCTGAAAGGTGCTCGCATAACAGAGGAGGCCAGAATTCCTGATAATCCTAAGCATTTTGTAAACTCTTGCAGTTCACAAATGTCCTTGGGGAAGTGAGTGATGAAATCAACATGGAAATTCCATACAATTATTTCAGTCAGATTTTCCAGACATAATTTCAAGTTGGAAAATGTTGATGGATGTACTTAACATTGCTTAATTTTTTTTATTAACATATTTGCATAACTTAGAATACATTGTTCAGGTTTCTTTACTAAAGGATCAATTTCCTTTGTAATTACACAATGAAAGCTGGCTCTTTAAATATTACGGTCGGAATTGGGTGAAGTAGTGCAAGAATAATCCGAAACGACTTCAGTTCAAGTATGAGTCAAATTTGTTCTATTCAAAGTCCTATGTGTATTTTTTTTAATAGATAGCCCAACTTCAGTTAAGAGTATTTGTTTTTTCTGCTTTATGACGGTTTTACTTAAAAAAATAGAACTAAAGTTGTTACTTCTTACTACTTTAGCTATAAAAAAAAATTCTTCGAACTCAAGTTGAGTCAACTATGACGACTTCATTAGTCTAAAGTCATACTAACATACATGACTTTAAATAAAACAAATTTAACTCATACCCTATAATTGAAGTCGATAAGTGATATGACTTCACATTTTAAAAATCGTTTCATCTTGCACGACTTCACCTAATCCCGTAATATTTAAAAAAAAGTGTTCTTTTGCGTAATTACAAAAGCAAATTGATCCCTTTTGTTAAAAAAAAAAAAAAAAAAACCAATTTTTCAATTAAAGGTTTTTCGTTTTTGATTTCTTAATCCAGATCCTAGTGTGTGGTACTGCCATTGGCAACACATTTTCTACTTATGTGTGGATCTTGTTATTTGCATGAACTAGACTTGAATTTTGTTCTGCGATGAAGAAAACATCTATTATTCCAATTTGAGATCAATTTCAACATGTTGCACACTTTTTTTACATACCTTCAACAGATTGCCTCCTTTCAAAAATATGGAATCTGCAACTTCTGCTACTGCATGACGAATTGACTCCAACCCATTGAACCACTTTTGTTTGTTGGTTTCCTTCTTGTGAACATACCCAGTAACAGCATTGTTCTATAACTTTACACATCTTAGATAGATAACACGTAGACGAAGAACTATTCTTAAAAACTCTTTCTTTACATCAAAAAATAATTTAAAGGTTTGTGTTGGCAGACTCGTTTTATTTAAAATAAAAAAGTTGAACAATTGAAGCGAAAAGTTGCTAAACTTCTTTAACTTGATGTAACATAGATGGACTCAGAAAAACAGAATTAACAACTTGCAAGGATGTTCACTATTGGAGATGCTATTAACTACTTTTCAATATGATTTTCTCTTGCTCCTACTTGCAAAATAGCATGGCCATGAATAATAAGGATCATAATCATGCGTCCGAACCACGTCAGATGAAAAAGTTGTCTTAAAGCACAACAATCTTGTTCACACCCATGATTCTGGTTTGACCCACAGAGCCAAATGCCACGCCATGCACACCATAGCAACTTCCCTCATAGGCCATGCCAAAGCACACAATAGAAAAAAGCTTCTCTCCTGTCACACTCTCTCTTTCACTCTTTCTCTTTAAATTTATCACTTTACTCTCTTTTTCAGAACCAGAAGACGATGAACAACCACAACAACAAGCTGTAGAAAAACAGCACTTTGATTGGAACCGTGGTTTTTTGTACTCACTTTCTTTTTCAACATCTCTGCCTTCTGTCAGCTTCTTATTTTTAACTCTGTTCCCGATCCATGCTCTTTTAGCAGCTTCTATAAAACAAACTCTTCTTGGTTCCAATTTCAGCTCACAAGGCTCAATCACGCCCTCAACTTTTAACCACTGTTTTATTCATGTCAAATGGATATTACACTCTCAAGAAGGCTTCCTTCCTTCGCCATGTCACAGCATGTGGTGCGATCTCGTGTTTCTGCTTTGCTTGTGTAATTTCACTGCACTTTTCTCTACAACCACCAATTCTTTGTTTTCTTTCTGAAAACACTGTGTTGCGTCACCCCACTTGAAATAAAAAATATTCAAAAGTTCTTCTCTTCTTTGAGTGCAATGATCACCATTCCTCCTTGGAAATTCTGAAGTTTGAAAAGCAGAAAGTGAGTTTGCTGAAGTTACTTTACTTTGTTCTTTTTTTTTTTCATCCTCACATGGTTACTGTCTTATGTCTAGTATAGCCTATTCCTTTGTTTGTTTTTACTGCTCTTTTTGTTTATATCCACCGAGGATTTGATTGTTACTCCTCCCACTTTTTCGTGTCCTTTCTACTGCCACTGTTGCAGTTGTATAATAACACTAGCACCTTTGTGCTTCTCTCTCTCATTATTTTTCTTGCATTTCAAACTTTCTTATACTTGTGCGTGACTTGTTTTCCTTTGGTTTAGACACTATGCTTTATGGGACCCGCCAACCTTTATCTACCGTATGTAAGCAAAATGGAATGGCTGTGTGTTTCTGTAAGGAAATAGTTGCTTTCTGAAAAATTCATGAAGCGCTCCACTGAATGCATTGCTACAAGATAGATATTACTCTGATGAAGCAAGTGCAATTCATCCCATTCCTATCACTTTGTTTTGTTTTCTATTGTCCATTGCTAGTGATCTCTATAAATCCTTCTTTCAACGATGATGTGTTGGGGTTGATTATGTTCAAGGCTGGTCTAGAAGACCCAAAAGGAAAACTCTCTACGTGGAATGAAGATGATTATAGTCCCTGCAACTGGGTTGGTGTCAAATGTGACCCTGTAAACAATAGGGTATCTTCTCTTGTTCTTGATGGATTCTCACTTTCTGGTCATATTGATAGAGGACTTTTGAGACTGCAGTTCCTTCAGATTCTGTCCCTTTCGAGGAACAATTTCACAGGGACCATAGCTCCTGACCTTCTCGGCATTGGTGATTTACAAGTAGTTGATTTGAGTGAGAACAACCTCTCTGGGCTAATTCCAGATGAGATTTTCCAGCAATGTTGGTCTCTGAGAGTACTATCATTTGCCAACAACAACCTCGCAGGTAAGATTCCTGATTCATTGAGCTCCTGCTACTCTTTGGCAGTTGTGAACTTTTCCTCTAATCAGATACATGGGGAACTTCCATCTGGAATGTGGTTTTTGAGGGGACTTCAATCAATTGATCTTTCAAACAACTTGCTGGAGGGAGAGATTCCAGAAGGAATTCAGAATCTGATTGATTTAAGGGAATTGAGGCTGGGGAAGAACCTCTTCACTGGTAGGATTCCTGAGCATATTGGTGACTGCTTGCTTTTGAAGTTGGTTGATTTCAGCAGTAATTCTCTCTCTGGGAGACTTCCTGAATCAATGCAAAAGCTCACCTCATGCACATTTCTCAGCTTGCAAGGCAATTCATTCACAGGTGGCATTCCACATTGGATTGGAGAAATGAAAAGTCTAGATACATTGGATCTTTCTACAAACAGATTTTCTGGTTGGATTCCAAAGTCAATAGGAAATCTTGACTTGCTGAGTAGGTTGAATCTTTCAAGGAATCAGATCACAGGAAACCTGCCAGAGTTGATGGTGAACTGCATTAAGCTTTTGACTCTTGACATCAGCCACAATCACTTGTCAGGCCATCTTCCTTCATGGATATTTCGGATGGGTTTACAAAGTATCTCTCTTTCTGGGAATGGCTTCAGTGAGGGAAATTATCCCTCACTTACTTCCATTCCTGTATCTTTTCATGGCCTTCAGGTTTTGGATTTGTCATCAAATGCATTTTTTGGCCAACTTCCATCTGGAATTGGAGGTCTAGGTAGCTTGCAAGTCTTGAATTTGTCCACCAACAATATCTCAGGTTCTATTCCTGTGAGTATAGGAGACCTTAAATCTTTGTACAATCTTGACTTAAGTGGCAACAAGCTTAATGGAAGCGTTCCTTCTGAAATAGAAGGAGCAACATCACTCAGTGAAATGAGGCTACAAAAGAACTTCCTACGTGGGAGAATTCCAGCCCAAATTGACAAGTGTTCAGAACTAATATTTCTGTAAGAACTCTCTCATAGCTTCCATTTTTCATGCTTTATTCTTCTAATATAATTTAGTTGAGTTGTTTTAAAAACCTTTCCTTGGTTCTATTTTAGTTATGAAAATTGAAATATTGTGAATACGGTGTTTATGAGTCTACAATTTTTTTCTAATGTTTCCCCTTTGTGCATTTCAATGGAATGGTACAGGAATTTATCTCACAACAAGCTTATTGGCTCAATCCCTTCAGCCATAGCAAACCTAACCAATCTTCAGGATGTAGATTTCTCATGGAATGAACTCTCTGGAAGCTTACCAAAGGAGCTGACAAATCTCTCAAACCTTTTCTCCTTTAATGTTTCACACAACCACCTTCAAGGTGAGCTACCAGTGGGTGGCTTCTTCAACACCATCTCTCCTTCATCTGTCTCTGGTAATCCATTGTTATGTGGTTCTGTTGTTAATCACTCATGCCCTTCTGTTCA